TTTGTTGACGCTCCCGGGGCTTGGTAAGGGTCCCGAGGGACCGAAAACTACGAAAGAACTCAGGCCCGATTTTTTCGAGAGGCCGGATGTCCGGGATGATCCTTCCTTGAGATCATGGTGTCGCATTTTTCACAACGGGCGATTTCACATTGTTTCGGGCCCTGGGGGCCCTCACGGATCGATGAAGCTCGGCAAATGCCTCGGAAAAGGCGATGCCCAGGGTTCCGGTCGAATTTTCGCTACGGTGTTGGAACTCTTCGTAACGTCGGATCTCAGGTAAGAGGTCGGCCCTTCTGCGGCCGCTCCCATGGCGATCCTCGTGAACCCCGACGCTCCCGGGGCCAAACGAGGGGCTCCGTTCCCTGCCTCCGCGCTCCTGGGGGTTGCAGCTTGAGTGCACGGGGGGCGGCCACGGCGACGGTCGGGAAGAGCCGGCCAGGGCTCGCAGCCCCCGACCAGACGCCGAGTGTGGCCGAGAGCTGCGGGCTCCGATCGCCGGCGGGCCGGGCTGGAGGGAAACAGGAAAAGCAAAAAAACAAAAAACAGCAACATTATATATACATGTAACAAATAATAATAAATGTAATAAGAATAAGAAGAAGAAGAAGAAGAAGAAGAAGAAGAAGAAGAAGAAGAAGAAGAAAACGAGCGCCCGAGTCCCGGACGACGCTGCTGGCCTCTGGAGCGGGACTCGGAGGGGGCCAGCGGTCGTGCCCGGCTCAGGGGCCGCGTCCGGGGGGGGGGATGCAGCTCCTGGGAGGTCAAATTCTGATTTTGCACTGGTCCGAAGTCTGGCTTAATCCCGCTTAATCCCGCCTAAGCCCGCTCAATCCCGCTTCATAATCCGAGGCCCACTTCGGCGTATCACAGTTCCCAAACGGGGCTCGATCCTCCTTTCCATCTTCCCGACGAGAACCTCCCAGCAGTTGCCTCCTAACGTCCGGGAGGGGGGGGGGGGGGCTCCGAGCCCAGACCCCCGACGTCATGATTTTTTCATGACGTCGACCCCCAGAGGTTTGGACCCATTCCCCAGGACCGGTGTTTCCTCCTGAGTCGTTTTTTGACGGTCCCGAGGCCCGGTAGGGGCCCCCGGAGGCCGAAAATATGGAAAAACTTCCCGTCGTGATTTTTTCATGACTCGAGGGGGTCTGGGACCCCTGATCGCTCGGGTCCTCGCCAGCCGGGGCCGGGGCCCCCCCCCACAGCCCGCCGGCCCAGGAGCGCGACCCAGACCCCCTCGAGTCATGAAAAAATCACGACGGGAGGTTTTTCCATATTTTCGGCCTCCGGGGGCCCCTACCGGGCCTCGGGACCGTCAAAAAACGACTCAGGAGGAAACACCGGTCCTGGGGAATGGGTCCAAACCTCTGGGGGTCGACGTCATAAAAAATCATGACGTCGGGGGTCTGGGGAAGTCTCTGCCGTGATTGTCTCGCAGCGCGGACCCGCAGAGGTCTCGGCCCATGCTCCATGCTCCAGGAGCGGCGTTGCCTCCCGGGCCGTGCTCTGACGGACGACGTGGGGCCTGGCGAGGGCCCTCAAAGGCTGTCGCAATGATGGTCACGGTGCGGGGAGACCCGGATCCGTCGTTTCCCTTCACCGCATGGCCCCTGCGCACCGACGACGGCTGCAGGGTGCCGAGGCGACGCCTGGGCCCCCTGCAGCCAGCTCGCCTTCCTGGCCATCCCCGTTCGGCCCTCCGCGCGGTTGCCCGCTGGGCCCAACAGAAAAATGCGTAAGCATAGATTGTCGGAGGTCCTCCTCCTCCAACTATATTTTGCCGCCTCCTCCTGCGCGGATTCTTCGGATCGGCGCGCCGATTTCTGGCACCGTGTGAACCGTTCACCCTTGAACGATCGCGGCGTTTCGATCGTGCACATCGCCCCGTATCGGTGGGGGGTGGATAGACCTCCTACCCTGACACATCGATTAGCGAATTGGCCGTTGTCGGTTCGCGAGAGGGCGTCGCGGCCGTCATTTTTGCGGGTCCAGGTCCGTCGGTTTTGGTCCTAGGCCGTTTTCATTGAAGGGAGGTGTATTGAAGGGAGGTCTGTCCACCGCCGAGTCGGCCAATTCCAGACCACCAGGGGCGTTCCACCTTGAACGCCCACGGCGGGGTCGCCACCGACCCCTCGGAGAAGAAACAACACATCAACACTTTGATCGAAGAGCCGCACGGATTCCTTGGATCGGCGATGTACCCCCATCCTTGGCGCGCTTGGCGCGCGCCAGAAGGCTGCGGCCGAGGCGCCACCAGAGGCCCAGCGCCGACGCAAGAAATCCGCTCGGACCTCCACGAATGTATGTCTTTGCCGACGCCTGCTCTTCTGGTCCAGCCAGCGGGGTGATACTCCTCTGCTACGGGGTGTGGGGGAACGCTGGCGGCACGATGAGGGGGCACCAGGCCAGGACACGGCAGAGCCCATTCCGATCCGATCGATCCGATGTGCTTTTGATGTCGCTTCGGGCCGACTCGATGCGAGTCGACTCCGATGTTCCGGCGATCTGATGTGACCCGATGTCTTTGAAGGGGCCCACAAACACACAAATAAATACACACAAATAAAATGATTCCGCATATTTTCCTATATTTTCTGGGTTTTTGTTTTCCCCCCCACTTCCCATATTTTCCCATATTTTCTGGGGAATCGACGATTAATTGTGTCTGTGTGTTTTTTCCCCTCCTCAGTCTTGGAGCCGCGATCGGTGTGCAAGCCGTGAGGGTGTCGGCCACGCCGAGCCTGCGAGCGCGCCGAGCCTGCGAGCGCGGCGGAGGCCGGGGCGCCGGGGGCAGCCGCCGGGCGGTGCTTTGGGGAGCAGGGCTCGCGTGCGGGGGCCGTCACCTCTGGGGTGCGCAGGGCCGCGGGGCCCGCGCAAGGGGGCCGAAGAGAAGGGAAGCCCGGCATGACCACAGGTGGTCGGAGGTTCGCCGAGCGCGGTCCACGACTCGCAAGTGCCTCCTCGCAAGCGTCCGAAAAAGCACTTGTCTGCTTTGACGTAATTTTTAGCGCAGAGCCCTGGCGGGGGACCCCGGCCATTTGCGAGTAGTTACTGGGGAGGGGAAAAAACACACAGACACAATTAATCTTCGATTCACCAGAAAATATGGGAAAATATGGGAAGTGGGGGGGAAGACAAAAACCCAGAAAATATATGAAAATATGCGGAATCATTTTATTTGTGTGTATTTATTTGTGTGTTCGTGGGCCCCTTCAGTTACTTCGCGAGTAGTGGAACACCCTCGTCGAGAGGTGACGATCTCGAGATCTGGAGCAGCTACAGAGGTGCTACGCTCACCGAGAACTGCAGCAGCATCCGAGGCTGTAGTCTCAAGTCGGGCCTGTCCCCCTACAGGGGGATTTTCGACGATAAATCAAAAAAATACCCAGCAATAATCAAAAAGATAGTCCAAACATAGTTTGGCATGTATTTTGGGGGTAGTTGTTTACCTTTTGGGGGGCTTTTTGGGTGTATTTTTAATTATTCGTCGAAAATCCCCCTGTAGGGGGACACGCCCGACTTAACTGTAGTCTGGCGGGGCGGGACGCCTGAGATCAGCTTGCTACTCGAGCTGCGGCGCGCGAATGTCTTGCGTCGGCACTGCGCCCCCACTGACGGTGCCTCTGGCGTCGCCCCCTGGCGTTAAGTCGGGCCTGTCCCCCTACAGCGGGATTTTCGACGAAGAATACAAGATACCCCAGAAATTATCAAAAAATAGTCCAAAAATAGTCCGGGGACTATTTTCTTAGTATTTTCCTACCTTTTTGAATAGTTTTTGCTTTTCGTCGAAAATCCCCCTGTAGGGGGACAGGCCCGATATAACCCTGGCGCGCTGCGCGCGCCAGGGAGGGGGGGGGGTACCACCGATCCAAGAAATCTGCGTGGAACCTTCGAAAGATTATGCTCATGCGAGCGACGCAGAGAATGGGGTCGTTGTCACCGACATTGGCGCGTTAAGTTGCCCGCATTAGGTTGCGCGGAAGCGCTCTCGCTTCGAATGTGGCGTGCCGCGCCGGCGATCCGCCTAAGCCACCGCGCAAGTTCGCTATGCTATCTCTCGTAAGACCCGTTTCTGTTCGTCGCTCATGTTGTTCTTCTTTCTTCTGACACAGTGACGCGGCGTGCGGGCTGGAAGCAGGCCAGACCCCGAAGCGATCCTCGCCACCCTCGCTCTCGCCGACGCGACGAGGGCGGCCCCATGGCTGCTTTGGCTGTCGGCGTTCGATTGGCGTCGAGGCCCGAGGCGCTTCTTCAGCCGCTTCTTGTCCCACCTCGAACGCGTCACGCTCCCAGCCTCGAAGAAGAAACGTCTACGGCAAGTCTGCATAAGCTGTTTGCATCTAAGACATCGGTTACTTAAAACATGGTGGATTAGACCAGACAAGACAAGATAATGGTTGAGATAAACAAGATCTGCCTCGCAGCCTCAAAGGAGAACAAATATGCATAAAGATAAACTGTTGGAGGTCTGCGCGGATTTCATGGATCGGCGCCGAACCCCCCTTGCGCCGCCCCTGGCGTGCGATTACGCAATTGATTGTTCTATCTCGGCTGGCCTCGTGGTGGTGCACCCCTGTCCAGCTGTTCGTCGGCACGCCTGCCCCCTCGGTCGGATCTTCGCCCGGAGAGGAGCACGCTCCTCGCGCCGAGGAAGCTGCTCTTCTCGAGGCACCCGCCACCTGGCAGGGGTGCCAGCAGGTGCTCACAGAGATTGGCATCGGAAGGTCTCGCGTTGGCTGCAAAAGCTACACAGCCGTGACAAAAGTTTCGTCAATTTGCTATGATGAAGGTCTCTCCCATCCCTCTCAAGATTTCTAACATGACCCCGAGACGGGATCGGAAACTACTCCGCGCCAAACCATATGAATTATCGAGCGGGATGCGATTGCGCGCGGAGTAGCTTTAGTAAAGCTACTCAGAACTACTCCGCACGAGCGCGTCATTCCAAAAGGCACATTGAAAGAAACTTTCGTCACGGCAATGTAATGGCCGCGCGCCAGGCACTACGAGTGGCCGGTGCCGATCAGTCAGGTGGCAGTCGTTGGCTTATTCCTTGATCTGCGGCCACAGCCATGCGACAATTATCCGTAAGGGCTTCGCCCCATGCCGCCGGCCCCCTGTCTCGGATAATATGGGAGATGCAAGAGCTAAATCATGAGGTCTGGGCGCCGCCGTGAAGCAGTGTCGGGACCTGTTTGTTTTTCGACCCTGAGCCCGCCTATCTGCGTCAGGGGTGCCACCGAATTTCAGAAATCTGGCACATCCCTTCTGTTTTTGGAACCTGACCCCGCCGATTTGCATGAGAGGTGCCACCGAATTTCAGAAATGTTACACCTCCCTTGTGTTTTTGGACCCTGACCCCGCCGATCTGCGTGAGGGGTGCCACCGAATTTCAGGAATGTGGCAAATCCCTTGTGTTTTTGGACCCTGACCCCGCCGATCTGCGTGAGAGGTGATACCGAATTTCAGAAATCTGGCACATCCCTTGTGTTTTTGTTACCCTGGCCCCGCCGATCTGCGTGAGGGGTGCCACCGAATGCTACACCTCCCTTGTCTTTTTGGACCCTGACCCCGCCGATTTGCGTGAGGGGTGCCGCCGAATTTCAGAAATGTGGCACATCCCATGCGTTTTTGGACCCTGACCACGCCGATCTGCGTGAGGGGTGCCACCGAATTTCAGAAATGTGGCAAATCCCATGTGTTTTTGACCCTGACCCCGCCGATCTGCGTGAGGGGCGCCACTGAAGTTCAAAAATATGGCAACAAATCCTTTGTGTGTTTTTGGAACCTGAGCCTGCGGATCTGCGTGAGGGGTATCAATTTTTAACCCCCCAGAAATTCTGAGAACCCTCCCAGGGCGTGGTAGTTTTGCTGGTTTGGGCTCGCCCCCCTCGCGCGTTCATCAACAAGGAACGGTAAGCAGCAAGAAGCAGAACTGTAACAGTGGAAATTGGAAGCTGCAACTGGTGCAGGGAGCAGCACATTCCCAGCCTACAGCCTGGTGGCCCCGCAAGGGGGCTGGCGGATTAGCAAATGAGTTGGTTTGCTGTGTCGCTTTCCTTGCGTTTGTCTGAGACAGACCGTCGTTGCGTTATATCCTCTTTGCGCTCCGTCCTGCCACTGCCCAGTTCTGGAAGATTGCCATCATGGACGATGCATGCGAACGATGGGCGTATGCGGCGTACAGTTCCCGGATCAGCAGATATGTTGTTGAACATCTGAAGCGGTTTGGGTCATCAAGTTTCGAGCCATTTGCGGGCAGCCCTTTGCGAGTGTTACGTCGTGCACGGGGTGCTGCGTGAGTAACTGCTATCTGCGTCGAGCACCTTTATACAGAGTACCTTTTCTGTAGTCGGGCGTGCACGCAGACCGGGCCCCACTGGTGCATCAACGCTGCAACGGTGTGCACGCAAGCAAACAAAGCTCATTTGCAAGATGAAGAATGCCCTCGCAATGCTCCGCGCCTGTAGGGCGCGCCTATCTCATCGGAGTGTGTTGGCGTTCGGCGTCGTGCTGGCGCGTGGCCCCCCGATTGATACCCTTTCCGTGATTGGTTTTTCTGGCTGACAGGGCACGATTGGCCCCATGAGCCTCCCGCCCTCCCGCCCTTTTCCTCCCCGTCGCCTCGCTCCCTGCCACCCCCTCCCTCCCTCTCTCTTCGCCTCATCCTCCTCCCTCGTTCTCCTCGCGCTTCTCCTCCGCCTCCTCCTCCCTCTATCTTCGCCTCCTCCTCCTCCTCCCCCTCCTCACGCTTCTCCTCCGCCGCCTCCTCCTCCTCGCGGGGGCCCTTTGCTACTGCACTGACTGACGCCGCCTCCCCAGGCCGCCCGTTCTCTTCCTCTTATTATTACTGCTGTTGTTGTTTGTCCTCCTCCTCCTCTTCCTCCTCCTCCTCCTCCTCCTTCGCCTCCTCTTCATCTTACTCCTCACCATAATGATCCGTCCTCCCCCTTCGCTTCCTCCTTATCCTCCTTCTCCTCGTCCTTCTCCTCCTCCTCCTCCTCCTCCTCCTCCTCCTCCTCCTCCTCCTCCTCCTCCTCTTCCCTCCTCCTTCTCCTCCTCCTCCTCCTCATCATCATCATCATCATCACTCTCCCTTGTCCTGTTCTTCCTCTTCCCTCCTCCTCCTTCTCCGCCTCCTCATCCTCCCCCTTCCCATCCTCCTGAGATTCCGTCTCCCCCTCCTCTCCCGTATCCTCTCCATGCTCCCCTCCGCTTCCTTTCCTTCCTTCATTCCATGTCCATGCCCCTCCTGATCCTCCTCGTCCTCCTCCTCCTCCTCCTCCTCCTCGTCCTCCTCCTCCTCCTCCTCCTCCTCCTCTTGCTCCTCCTCCTCCTCTTGCTCCTCCTCCTCCTCCTCCTCCTCCTCCTCCTCCTCCTCGTTCCCCTCCCCCTATGCTGCTGCCCAGTGCTCTGGAGCCTCCCACGCCAGACAAATCTGCCACCTGGCGCGGCGCTCCTGGAAATGGCTCGCATTCGCGACCGACGAGATCGGTCGCTACCGATTTTGCATCACATTCCGGTATCCATTCCTGTATCGGTCGCGACCGATTTGGAGTGCCGATCCGATCGGTCGCTACCGATCGCGACGGACAAAAATCGGTGTCCAAAGCATCTGGGAGAGGAGAGGACGGGAGGCCGGCGGGAGGAACCTCCGGAGGAGGATCTCCTCCCCCTCCTCCTCCCCAGTCATCCACGTGTCGTTCGTGTCCCACGTGTCGTGTGGTGCCGAGCTTACAGCAATGAGGGGGTAACCCCACCACACTCCGTAGTTCGAGCTGACTTTGGACTCATATGGAGCGCCGCCGCCGCCGCCCAGAGGCGTGGCGTTCTCACGGCGTGGTGTTCTCACGGCGTGGCTCCCCAGAGGTCTGGACCCCCTCCCCAGGGACTGGCCTTTCGTCCCGAGTGTTTCTGTTGACGGCCCAAGGGCCCGGCGAGGGCCCTGGGGGGGGGCGTCGGGGCCTAAGAGACGGGGGTCAGTGCAAACGGGGGTCAGCCAGAGCGCCAGATCCAGCGGGATCCTGCGAAGGCCCCTTCTGGCTGACCCGGGTTAGCGAGCCGCTCGTGGCCGCGAGGGGGGCCGCGCCTATTAGCTGACCCGGGTTTGCGAGGACCTGCGTTGCAGTTTTTTTGTCCTGCATTGCAGTTTTTGGTTTCCCGCTGACCCGGGTCTGGATTGACCAGGGTCAGAAGATCCCCGAGGGCGAAAATTGGCAAACCCTTTCCGTCGCGATTCTTATCACGACGCATCGGCATACCTGCCCGGGGGGGCCGAAATTCGGCTCCGGGACACATTTCGGGGTGCATTTCGGCGAGAATCTTGAGGCGAGTCGACGAGAAGCCTCCCCGGGAGTGCAACAAAACAAAAAAAACAAAAAAAAAAAAAAAAAAAAAAAAAAAAAAAAAAAAACGCGCCAAAGCTGAAAACAAAACAAAAACAGAGACCTAATCTTCGAACCTCGAACCCTCCGTCGTGATCTGCTGTGCAACGAGAAGATGCCAGGGTCCTCATCGTTATCCCCCCCTCCTGTGCACTGGTCTCCTCCTCGTATGTTCTTGAATCTTGGATTCGGGTCTGGACTTGTTCGTCGTGCGGGGTTTTTGCCAATCTTCACATTTCTAAGCTCGCCGACATTTGCGATCCATTCTCGATCCACAAGACCAGGCGTGATCAACCAGGTCGTTTCTCTCGGCATCTTCGGCCTACAGCTTCTGTCGGTAGTGGTCAGTTTTATTTTTGCAGACGCCGTCTGGGTTCTGCATTCCCGAATTCCTCCGCACCGCTCGCCCACCCGCCCGCTCCTGGGCAACGTTAGGGGGGGACCAACTCAGGGGGGACATCGACTTTGAATCGTGGATACATCGCCGATAGATCGGCGATGGGCCCCCTGCACCGCTCGCGCAGTGATGCTCCGATATAGAATCCGAGGCAAATCCGACGTGAACCCGACGCATATCCGACGTCAATCCGACACAAAGTGGGTCTCAAGTTGCCGCGCGAGGCTTCCAAGATGTTGCTCATAACTTCTCGCTCTCCCCCCCCTCCTCTGTAGCTCGTCATCCCCCCCCCCCTTCCTCTACACCGCCCATCCCCCTCCCACCCCTCCACACAGATGGCCCCTGCACCGGCACCCCCAGCCACCCACACATACCACACACCCCACGCCCCCCCACCCACACAACCCAACCCCGCTGCCCCCTCCCCCCCCCACGCCCCCCCCTCCACTCCACGCCCATCCACCCCGCCGCCCCCCCACGCCCCCTCACCCACCCACTTCACCCAGCTCCTCCTTCTCCTCCTCCGCCTCCTCCTCCTCCTGCTCCTCCTCATCCTCCTCCCCCTGCTCCTCTTCCAACGGAGAATTTCCCTAAGTGAAAATGAACCCTTGCATGGTCCACTGAAGAGGGAACTTGGCGGGAGGGCTTGTTGCAACATTGTTGACGAGTCTTGGGTTTACATTGGTCCTCCTCTGGTCCCTCCTCCTCCTCCTCCTCCTCCTCCTCCTCCTCCTCCCTCCCTCCCTCCCTCCCTCCCTCCCTCCCTCCCTCCCTCCCTCCCTCCCCCTCCTCCCTCCCTCCCCCTCCTCCCTCCCTCCCCATCCTTCTGCAGCTCTCGCCCACACCCCCACCCGCCTACACGCAGGTGGCCCCCCCCCTGGCGGAGCCCCTGCTCGAGGCGCTGGGGCTGCAGGGCCTCCTGGGCGGTGGCGCCGCGCTCGTGGACTGCGCGGCGACCGCGCCCCCCGCCCGCGGCGCCCGCCTTTCAGAGCCGAGTCGTCGTCTCGTCGCACAACTCGAGCAGGAGGTCGACTACGGAGCTGATGTACCCCAACATTGAAATCCTCGTAGAGAGAGAGAGAGACTACGAAGAAAAGAAAGACGTAGAATGTTCACATGTCTACGAGCACGTATATCTACGATGGCAGATTCTGCCAAACGTGGGGGGTAAATCAGTGAAGCAGCCGATCTCCTGCTCGAACAACAAGTAGTCACGACGGAGGCTTCGAGGCTCGAGATGGCGGTCGGGCATGTTCGAAGAGCGCGTCGCGCCGCCAGACCTGGCCCACCGTGTGCTTGTGCGAAGGATTGGAAAGAAAACCAAGGATTGCAAAAAAAACAAGGGTTGTTTGCAATCCTTGGTTTTTTGCAATCCTTTGCGAAGGTTTTTTTTGCAATCCAGGGTTTGTTTGCAACTCTTCGGTTTTTTTGCAATCCTTCGTTATCCGCATCCCAGGCGTCAACGTCGCGAGTTCTCCAAGCCTCCCGCCACGTGGAGCGGAGCGACGCGCTATCCGCCTGCAAGGTACGGCGTGTCGCCGGGGCCGCCGCCGCGACACGCTGTGCAAAGGCTCCTGGCCGTGGCTGTTCTGTTTGGGAGCGTTGGGGGGCTCTGCTTGCGCTTCGGAGAGGCTTCTCGTCGCCACGGCTGGACCCGCCTCAAAATTCTCGTCGACAAGCTTTGGCCCCCAGCCCAGACCCCGCTGCGTCGCGCAAAAAAACACGACGGATGATGCTTGCCACTTTTCGGCCTCCGGGGGAGGCCTCACCAGGCCCGGGGGCCGTCATCAATCACACTCGGGAAGAAAGACCAGTCCCGAGAGAAATGTCGAAGATGTGGTATCCTGCCTGACGAGATGACCAAACCAATGAAAAAGATGTAGCCCACGAGCACCGCGTAGGTGTAGGCGATGGATCCATGAGCGTTGCGTTCAAGCCCAGCTGTTGGGTTCCAGCTCCCATGGAGAGAGCGGCTGGCACGTGAGTGTGTCTTCAAAGGAGAAAAAGGGATCCAGACCTCTGGGGGGCCACGTTGCGAAAAAAACACGACAGAGGATGTCCGTGTCGTCGTCGACAGCACTTCCGAACCACATTCCGTGACCTTTGCATTCCTCTTCCCCAAACGTGTCAGGCAGTCTGCACGCCTGATTGGTGTGGCATGCTTGTTGGGCAACATGTGGCCAGTCTCTCGCCACGCCCTGCGGGATGATCTCCTCCCTCCTCCGTTGTGGCGCGGTCGCTTTCGAGAGAGAAAGTCGCCGCCGTCGCCGTCGCCGTCGCCGTCATCGTCGTTCTTGTTTTCGTCGATGTTCAGGCGTTTCCGTTGCCTCCTGGCGGTTTCCCAGCCTCGGGCGGCGCTCCGGCAGCTGCGCGTCGCCGAGGGCATTTTCCGGAGGTGCCCGAGTCGTCCCGAACGGCCGCCAGAGACCCGAGCTATGACCCGGAAGCCGAGAAAGCTTCTTAGGGGGTTCAGACCCTCAGATCCAGGCGACGAAACAAAAGTGCGACGGTTGGTTTCTGGGAGATTCGGCCGCCGGGGACCGTCAAGAGACGACCCAGGAGGAAAGTCTTCCCCGTCGAGGTACAGGCGCGGTGGAGAGAGAAAGGAGGAGGAGGAGGAGGAGGAGGACCAGAGTAAACCCCGAATGCGTCAAAGATGCTACAATACACCCTCCCGCCTCCTCCTCCTCCTCCTCCTCCTCCTCCTCCTCCTCCTCCTCCTCCTCCTCCTCCTCCTCCTCTTCCTCCTCCTCATCCCTCTCCTCCCCCTCCTCCTCCTCCTCCTCCTCCTCCTCTTCCTCCTCCTCCTCCCCCATCCTCCCCCTCCTCCTCCCCCTCCTCCCCCTCCTCCTCACCAGGTCTTGAAAGCAGACATCTCTCCCCACGGCGAGAAGCGCCCCCGCTGGAGCGACGAGCGCCCGGTGGGCCTGCCGCGCACGCGAGAGACGTTGTTCTCTACCGGGTCCGCCCTCCGCCCTCCCAGCGGCGGGGGCCGCGGAGAGGCAGGACGAGGAAGTGCAGGAAAGGATGGCGCCTTTCTGGAAAGCATCTGCCCTCCATCCGCACTATAGTCCCTTTGGGTGTGGTGGCCGCCAGGGGCATCGCGATCTGCGTTGATAGATTCAGCCTTCGTCCCTCCTCTTCCTGCTCCTCTGATTCTTTCTGCCAGTACTGCCAATGTTATTTACCAAAAAAAAAAAAGTGCTTCGCCAGTTCAGAGTCCTGGCCATGCAAGTTGCGGAGGTCTCAAGCCGGAGCTCCAGTTGAAAGCAGCATGTGCCCTGCAGCCGTGCGGCTGCTGCACAAGTCGGAACCTCCCGCCGTGAAAGTCGAGAAATGATCAAGTAGTAGCCGCGCTTTGAAAAGAAGCCACCCTCCATCCTTGTCACTGTTGAAAACGCATAGAACGAATGCACGCGGCGTTGAGGCGAGAGCCAAAGTTTGAAAAGCATCCGCATCCATCATGTTGGATGTGTGTACTCAAGTACATGGCCACGGCAGCGATCCCGACTGGTTGAGGCAGGCAAGGCAGGCCACAGCCAGCGCCACGCGCGAAATCGACAGGCGCATGGACAGCATGCGGGACACGGCTTGGCCCGACGACCACGCTGACCGAGCTTGGCTCGACCTGGATGGCAGGTTGTACCGCCAGCCACTGCCTTGTGTTTATGCGCAGGCACGCCCAAGGCGGTCTAGAGAGCTGGGGTGCCGTCGTCAAGCGTCTCCAGATCGAGGTTGGCTCTTACTTCGGCGAAGGTTGGAAGCGCGCATGCGACAAGCGTGACAACAAGGGCATTGGCAAAGGGCTATACGCCCCGCTTGCCAGCGAGGATTTCTGCCGAAAGTTCATGGCCGATCTGTGGCATTGGAACTTCGACATCAAGAAATATTGTTGGTGGGAAGGTATCCACGTGGACTGGGACCAGGTCTGGCGCAACCAGCAGGCCGAGAACACGCGCAGGCAAGAGACGCGGGAGCGCGAGGCTGCCGAGCAAGGCGAAGGGCGCGATGAAGGCGGCAAGCCCAGCAAGCGCCGCTTTGACATTGCTTGGGACGACGCCCCCAGCGCCCGCCCTCGGCGCTAAACACCTGCACCACCGCAGCCACCACCACCCGGCTGCACTTGGCACCTCTGCGGGGCGCGCCGCCCGCGGGCACCGCGCCATTCCACACATGGCCCTCTTCCCTCCTCCCCCCTCGCCAAGGCGTCGTGCCTTCCATTGGGACGTGCGACGCCGCCCTTCATTGTTCCTTGCACCACTTCGGCGTTCCCTCGCTCTTCCGCCGCGACAGACCACTCTCGATGAGGCGTGTGGCCCTCTGGGCTGGGCGCCTCTCCGCACCTGGCTCGGCACCTCCTCGGTGCCCTCCCTCACCTCTCCTCTTTGCGACGCACCTCCCGTTTGGGACGCGCGTCGCTCACACACTGTCCCCTGCACCACTTCGGTGTTCCCCTGCTGCACCACGCTGGACCGCCCATTGGGGCGCCCAGCGACGTTACCCGGCTTCTGCACCTTTCGGTGCTCCCCGCCGCCGCCCCTTCGCGACGCGCCTCCCGTTTGGGACGCGCATCGTTCAGTCACTGTCCCCTGCGCCATTTCGGTGCGTCTTTGCTGCACCACGCTGGACCGCCCATTGGGCCGCCCAGCGTCGTTACCCGGCTTCTGCACCTTCTGGTGCTCCCGCCGCCGCCCCCTCGCGACGCGCCTCCCGTTCGGGACGCGCGTCGTTCAGCCACTGTCCCTTGCACCATTTCGGTGCTTCTCTGCTGCACCATTGGGCCGCCCTGCGTTGTCACCCGGCTTCTGCACCTTTCGGTGTTCCCCTCCTTCACGGTTGCCCCGCGCTGCCCCCTCCAGTTGCGATGCTGTTCCGCCCCGCCGCCTGCGAGCGCTTGGGACGCTTCGCCCGCAGCCACCTGCCCCACCTCTCTCTGCCCTCTGGCCACCTGGCGCGTCCTTAGGCGGTCACGCCGCCATACCCTTGCCACTGCCAGCCATCTGACTGCGTTGCCATCTCCTTCCGGCAGCCCCGCGCTTCCTCCTCCCGTTGCGTTGCTATTCCGCCCCGCCGCCTGCGGGCGCCTGGGACGCTTCGCCCGCCGCCTCCTGCCCCACCTCTCCCGGCCCCCTGGCCACTTGGCGCGCCTTTGGGCGGTCACGCCGCTATACCTCTGTCACTGCCAGCCATCTGGCTGCATTGCTCCTGCCTCCGCACGGCCCAATGTTGTGCCTACTCCTCGGCACGCCGCGGTACCTCTGCCGTTCGTGGTGTCCCACTGCGACCGCCCGCCAGCTCCAGCTGCTGGCAGCCGCCTTCCCTCCAGCCTTGCCACCGTGGTTTGCCACGGCCGCCCACCGCGCTCTCGCCCTGCGCGCCTGGCTGCTGCTGCCCCCCCCCGGCTGCTCATCGGCGAACTCTTCGACGTCTGAGCGTCTTTTCTTCTTCTTCGCCGTCCCCCCCCCCTCTTCGCCCGCCGGCCAGTTCGCTAGTTTGTGTAATGTTTCTACTTCTCGCTGGAGTGGAGTTCGCCGACTCGCTGCTGACGGAAAAAAGTGTGTACCCTACCCAAGTGCGCTCGGTGCTAAAACGAGAGGCGCATGTTCGAAAACGAATCAGCCTCCATCCGTGTAATGTTCGGAAACGTTTGAGATGAATCCGCGCGGCACCCAGGAGAGAGCCGCATACAGGAAGAACACTAGCCCGCCACCCGCATATGTATTGGAAGCTGTTACAACGAATGTGCGCGGGGCTCAGGCGAGAGCCGCACTTTCGAAATGATTGGCCTTCCATCCGCGCGACAGTTCGAGTTGTTTTAACTCTGGGGTAACAAAGCGCAATAGAGTCAGAAACGAAACGCCCGGCCCGGCTCACAGACACGCATGGTGGCGCGACGGGAAGGAGTTGTCCATAAAAGGAATGGAGGGTCGAGAATCGAAGATCGGGGTATTTCTGAACGAGTCCTGCTTTTCGGGGCTTTCGGGAGGCTTCTAACGGGATCAGGGCGCCTCAAAGTCATCGCTTCAAGATTCCTCTTCTTCAGCGCCCTCATATTTTCCTCCTCCTCTTCCTTCTCCTCCTCCTCCTCATCATCATCATCATCCTCCTGCTTCTCCTGCTCCTCCTCCTCCTCCTCCTCCTCCTCCTCCTCCTCCTCCTCCTCCTCCTCCTCCTCCTCCTCCTCCTCCTCCTCCTCCTCCTCCTCCTCTTCCTCCCCCTTTATCCCCGTCCTCCTCCCATTACCTATCTTCCTCCCTCTCTCCTCCGCCTGTTGCTTGGGGGGCGGCGCTGGCGAAGAGAAGGGCGGCACCCGGAGGCAAACGGCACGGCGCCCTCGGAGACGGAGGCGTGTTGCAACCGAACCGCTGGCCTAGGCGGGCGGCGGCCCACACGACGACGACGACGACGACGACGACGACGCCGACGACGCCGACGCCGACGACCGACGATGACGACGATGGACGTCTTGAAACTCAAGGGGGAGGTTTCTGTACGGCCATTCGGGGCTGTTTTCGGCCCTTGATGCCGTCAGAGAGCGGCCCGGGGTTCAGAGCCGTCTCTGGGGGAAGGGGTGGGGCTTCTGTGGGCTCCGGGTGGGAAACTTATCTTGGCGAAGGACCCAACCATGTGCAGTTGTGGGTACCGGAATCGTGAATATCTTCTTCGGTGAAGCTCCCTACGGGGCCACGAAGCGCTGCACTGGGTGGGAGAAAACGCACGCGGGCGGTAGCATTGGGGGCCGTCGGTGGAGCTCCCTATGGGGCCACGAAAGGCTGTGCTGGGTGGGTGAAAATGCCAAATTGGGCTTCGGGGACGCATGCGGACGGTCCCACTGGGGGCTTCGGTGGAGCTCCCTATGGGGCCACGAAACGCTGTGCTGGGTGGGTGAAAATGCCAAGTTGGGCTTCCGGGGCGCATGCGGACGGTCCCACTGGGGGCTTCAGTGGAGCTCCCTATGGGGCCACGAAACGCTGTACTGGGTGAGTGAAAATGCCAAGTTGGGCTTCAGGGACGCATGCGGACGGTCCCACTGGGGGCTTCGGTGGAGCTCGTAATGGGGCCACGAATCCGGAGATCAACAATAGATATTAGTAATGAGTAGTCAACAACAACAACAACAACAACAACAACAACAACAACAACAACAACAACAACAACAACAACAACAACAACAACAACAACAACAACAACAACAACAACAACAACAAAACAGCAGCAACAGCAACAACAACCACGACAACATCCACAGTAACAAAAACCACAACAACAGCAACGACAGCAACAACAAATAACAATAACAGCAACAACAACAACACCAACAACAACAGCAGCAACAGCAGCAACAGCAACCACAGTAATAACAGAATCAGCATCGCCATCATCGTCACCATCATCATTTTCATCATCATCATCATCGTCAACAGCATCGTCATCATCATTAGCAGCAGCATCAGCATCATCAGCATCATCATCAGCATCATCATCAGAATCATCATCATCATCATCATCATCATCAGCATCATCAGCATCCTGTCTCTTGTCCTCTTGTCCTCCATCTCCTGCTTCTCCTCCTCTTCCTCCTCCTCCTCCTCCTCCTCTTCCTCCTTGTGATTTACGCAGCTGACAGGGGCCCCCGAGACAGCATGTTCAAAGTGTAGCACGCGGAGGGGGGGGGGCGTGTGGGAATCGGCGACGCTGCTCCTCCTGACGCCCAAGAGACGTCGAATAACATCCAAAAGGCGTCCCAAAACCTTCTAGATACCCCCTAAACCGAGGGGGGAAAGGTATATACTGATACCGCTGCTCGTCCTGGAGTGCTCTCATCGCCACCCCTGGATGATGTGGAGACCGAGAAGGAGGAAGAGAAGGAGGAAGAGGAGGAAGAAGAAGACGAGGGAGGAAGGCTGACAAGGAAGTGGAGGATGAGATAAAACATTGATAACGAGGAGGGGGCGGGGGAGAGAACAGGGAGGAGAAGGATTGGGGAGGAGGCCGCCCCCGTCCTCATATGATGATTTACATGCGCTCAATGTACAACACGTTGAGCACAAGTCGGTGAAAAATTGCTTGTCTTGCCTGCGCCAAGAGAGAGCTGAGGGTAGAGGGGCGGTGGGGAGGGAGGATGGAAGGACGGAGAAGCACGGAGAGGGCGAGTGAGATCGAGAGGGAAAGCAAGAGAGATGGAGAGGAGAGAGGGAGTAAGGGAGGGAGAGAGATAAGGAGGGAGGGAGAGAGGGTGAGAGGGAGGCGAGGAAGAAGCTGACGGTTTTCACCGCATGCTGGGCGCAGGGCTGGGCTGCAGCGAGAACGACACCACCACGACTGAGGATCCGTCTTCGACGGTCTGTTGCGCAGCCTCCGCCTCCTCATCCTAGCGTTGCTCATCCTCCTCATCCTCCACTTGGCCATCACATCCTCGAACGTGGATGGTCATGTGCAAGGAGTTGCGCTGTTCCTCGTCATGACAGCAGTCGCCGAAGCAGCACGAATTAGCAGATGTAGCAGAGGCATCGGCGGTAGCAGCACTGGCATATGGAATAGCATTAGTTGCAGCAGCAATAGCAGGAGGAGTGGCGAACATGGAAGCGCCGAGTGCAAGTACGAGTAGCAGCAGTAGCATAAGCAGTAACAGCACCAATCGAACAAACAGTCGCAGCAACGGCAGCAGCGGCAGCAGCAGGTGTGCCAGCGGCAGCGATAGCAGCAACATTAGTTGAAACCGCATTCTCACCAGACGCATGACGAGGAACACCACCAATAGCTGCAGTGACCACAACAGTGGCATCAGCAGGAGCAGCACTTGCATAGAAATTGAAAGTACACTCACGGCGGCAGTAGAAGCAGCAGTAGCAGCAGCAGTAGATGTGCCAGTGGTAACATCAATAGTGGCAACAAGATTACCAGCAGCAGCGGCAGCAGCAGCAGCAACAGCAGTAGACGCAGGATGCTCGAGCCATGGTTTGGATAAGTGTGACTCGTTTCAACATTTGTGATGGAGCCTCCGCGGGGATCCCAATTGGCAGGTGAAGGGATTCAATGTCTCTTTCGGAGAAGATTTTCCCGAATTGAGTTGAGAAAATCGCGGAATCCGATTGCTGGCGTGTTGTCATCAATATTTTATGTGTTTAGTCCGGGGGCATGGCTGTTGGCAGTGAGCACGGGCAGCTTATGCCCCAGAGAATACGCGGACACAGGTTCACTAGTGTCCGAAAGTTGCGCGCGAGGGTTAAGATTGATCTCGAGGGCGTGTTCCAAAGAAGCTCGAGCGAAGCCCAGCGCCGTGAACACGAAAAGATCACCGCCTGGGATGCATTCGAGGATCGCCACGATCGAGAGGGCAGGTGTCACGGCCCCGACGCTGACGCGATCACCAGAAGCAGTCTGGATAAAAATAGTGTCGTGTGTCGGATGGTGTGTCGGTCGCCACGGCAGACACATCGGGTTTGATGTGTCGAATGGCAGGGGGGAGATCGGAGGCATGCAGCGCAGCAGTGGCAATGGCAGCGAGCATCGCAGGCGAAGGGCATGGAGAACTAGCGGCTGCTAGCATCAGCACGGAGAGGGCAGAGGCATGGCACCCGGGAAAATCTCACCCTGTTGGCTTCTGCTTCTGCTGCATCGCCGCCGGCGTTGCCCCGCTTGCCAGCTCGGCTTGGCACGACGTGCTTCTTTCCAACACTGGGGGTCTTGGAAGCAAGAGCGGTGCGGTGGTGTGCAGCCTGGCGCGGGGAAGGGGCCAAAGCGCAAGGCAGCCCACCTGAGGGGCCGCAGGTCTGCCATGACCGCGGCTGGCACTCGGCGCAGGTGGGAGGAACGCCCCGAGCCGCACGGCTTGAGCTGGAGGCTACAGTCGAGAAGTTGTAGCATGGACGCGAAAGACGAAGCCACGATGTCTTGGCTGCGGGCTGCCCCACAGAAGCCGTCGCACCTTCTGTTGCCAGTGGCAGCTAGCAGCCAGACCTGTGACCGACGAGGGCGCTGTGGATGAGGTGGACATCTCGTGTTGCTCATGTGTGCCAAGATACATGTCACACTCAGTTTTCAAGTGTGTTGGCATCCGCATGTTTAACAGAATGCACCGTCGTTGCAGCTTGAAAACTCATTTTGGGCTGCTGACTTCAGTCCCAGCTTGTGTGTCAAGCTTTACATGGCGTTTCAGTGCCAGCGTGAGCTCCGACTTTTTACTCGGCTAAGCATGCTGCGACACTCGACACCTCACGTGCGTGACGCGGTGCACTTTGGCTGAGGTTTTGGTTTTTAGCGCTACCGCAGCGCAGCACGACATTGTGCGGCACCACCCAAGTAGGTTTACATTGGTTCTGGTCGAAGCCCTGTTGACTCCCACCATCATGAGGCTGTTGTGGTCGACGTCGATCTCAGCCACGTCTGCGGTCCTGGAGGGGCTTGTGAAGCCTTTGTGCTTCCCGTCTTCGCCTCCCAACGCCGCTGACATAAAGCATGTGTTCCCGCGCGCATCTACGTCGCCATACCGATGTTGAGCTAACCTTTGTCAATCGAGTGTAGTTGCAGTTGTTGGCTTTAATGGTGGTTGCAGCGTTGAATTCGACCTTCTATTTCGGATTCGGGCCTCGTTTCATTTCAGCTCTTGCAGCAGCGGCACCAGACGCGCCATCGGAAACCACAGGACCTTGCGGGACACCGCAGGACACCGTGGCAGAGGTGTTAGTTTGTACCGGCGTCTCGACGGTTGACTTCTCGACGGCATCACACCGCGGTATTCCGACACCGTTCGCTTCATGTGCAGCTTTCGGGGCGACGCCACCTCGCCACGACATTGTAGTTCTAGTCTTGCGATTCGCTTTGGTTTTGGCCCTGGCTGAGATTTGGATGCATGCTAGAATTTCTTTTACGGTTTTGAACCTGAGTTCGAGTATTACCTCAGCTTTGTCAGCGTCAGCGTTGGCTTTCCTTCTTGCCTCAGCTTTAGATGCGTGGCGAAAGGTGTTGCTTTAGCTGCTTCAAACCAATCTGAAACGATCGGGACGCCATCAGGAAACTACGGGGACACCATCGATATACCATCGAAAATCGACCGGCACACAGTGAGTGTACAGTCAAACGATCGTCGGGACATTGGCGAGACACTATCGGGACATTACGACGGCGCATCGCAAGATATATTTGCACGAGCCGCCCGTCGTGCGAGCAGAGTGGCGCGCGGTTCGCAGTGAGGTAAAGCTAATGCACACGCAGCGAAACAAGGCCAGTAAAGGCAAATGATGTATGAGATGTCATCGAATCTAGGAGGCTGAAGAGCTTTGCGGATAGCTTTATACGGCAAATGTGAAGCGCGCAACGTGGAGTTGAAAGCGGAACGCATGCTGTTCGCATGTCGACTGACACTCGGCACGATTGCGACGCAGGTGCAGACGCGTTCGCACCCCGAAGTCGTCGTCGGCCAAAATCAAGGTTATAGCCCGATATGCGTTTTGATTCGACATGGGAGTAATGTTTGTTCATTGTCGCCGCAGATGTTGATGCCTTCAGTGTGTAATGTTGATATATGGTTTGACAGCTTCTCGCACAGGTTTTTCGCAACAAGGGTTCCGACCACCCTCGTCCATGCCGTCTTGCGTCCACTACTGCATGATCCGCTCTCCATTCTGAGGTCGACGCCGCGCAATACTGCAAGGATCTTTCTTCTTTCACCGGACAGTCAGACATGAAGGCTCTCCAGGGGGAGGGAGAGTGGGGTGCACACGCGGACGGACAGAAGAGGGCATGCGCACCAGCGCAACATGGAGATCCGTGACTTGTGATGTGGAGACTTGACTATGGGACCTGATGGGACTGTACTGTAGGGGCGTTCGTTAAGGAATGTGCTCAGCAGGCTTCAGACCCTGGAGGATTCCTTTTCTGATGAGGGCGGCGGTGGTTTCCCTGACCAAGCCTCAATTGATGTTCCTCCGGCTTCCAGACTCTGGACTCTTCATCTACAGGTTCCTAATTGATTGCCCTCACCGTATTCGAGTTCTGCATCTTTCCGCGGTGCATCCTCATCGAGGAGATGACAGAGAAGATTTCCGCGGGCCGGACGGCGACGACGACGGCGACTTGTGGGGCGCGGACGGGTGCGGCAGGAGGGTCGGACACAATGGTTTGGCATTACGGGGAAGGTCAGCGAGCAAGCAGTTGGCGGCGCACACACAGGGGTAGCCCCAGGGCGGGGGGGGGGGGGGATCAGCGGTCCAAGAAGGCTGGGGGGGAGCGGATTTCTAAGATGGCAGGCGGCTTCCTGGAAGACCTCCCAGCTTCCAGGAGGCCTTCCTGGGAGCCGCCAGGCCCTTCTGGCCGACGACGCGGCGTGAGCGAAGGCGGCAGAGAGACGCTCCTCTGAGGGCGCGTCTCGTGAGGGCCCGCCCGAGCTCGCGGGGGAGCGAGCGCCGGGCGGAGACCTATCGGACCATGCCCGGAGCGCCCCAGGGCTTCGAGCCAGCGGTCGGGGAGGAAAAGGAGCAGGAGCAGAGACAGGAGAGAGGACAGAAGAGAGAGAGGAGATAGGAGGGAGGAGGAGGACAAGCTACAGGCGCGCTCGCGCCATGTCTGACATTCTGCATAGTTCCACTGCATTGTTCCCAACCATCATGTGGTGTTGGGTCCTCGTTTTGAAGAGACGGTGCCCCGCGTTCCTCCTCTCCTCTCTCCCCCTCCTCCTCCCTCCTCCCCCTCCCACACCCATTCTGGCACTCCACCCGTGTCCCCATAGGGAGCTCCACCGAAGGCCCCAGTGGCTGCGCTCGCATGCGGTTCCCACCCCATTCTGGCACACCCCTCACACGTTTCGTGCCCCATAGGGAGCTCCACCGAAGGCCCCAGTGGCTGCGCTCGCATGCGGTTCCACCCCCCCATTCTGGCACACCCCTCACACGTTTCGTGGCCCCATAGGGAGCTCCACCGAAGGCCCCAGTGGCTGCGCCCGCATGCGGTTCCACCCCCCATTCTGGCACACCCCTCACACGTTTCGTGGCCCCATAGGGAGCTCCACCGAAGGCCCCAGTGGCTGCGCCCGCATGCGGTTCCACCCCCCATTCTGGCACACCCCTCACACGTTTCGTGGCCCCATAGGGAGCTCCACCGAAGGCCCCAGTGGCTGCGCCCGCATGCGGTTCCACCCCCCATTCTGGCACACCCCTCACACGTTTCGTGGCCCCATAGGGAGCTCCACCGAAGGCCCCAGTGGCTGCGCCGCATGCGGTTCCACCCCCCATTTCGGCACACCCCTCACACGCTTCGTGGGTGGCTCCATGGGGAGCTCCACCGAAGGCCCCAGTGGCTGCGCTCGCATGCGGTTCCACCCCCTTTTTCGGCACGCCCTTCACACGTCTCGTGGCCCCATAGGGAGCTCCACCGAACGCCGCAGTGGCTGCGCTCGCATGCGGTTCCACCCCCCATTTCGGCACACCCCTCACACGTTTCGTGGCTCCATAGGGAGCTCCACCGAAGGCCCCAGTGGCTGCGCTGGCATGCGGTTCCACACCCCATTCTGGCACACCCCTCGCACGTTTCGTGGCCCCATAGGGGGCTCCACCAAAGGTCCCAGTGGCACTGCCCGCTTGCGTCCGCCACCACCCAGCACAGCCCTTGTTCCCTGCGCTTCACCCACCCAGAACAGCGCTTCGTAGCCCTATAGGGAGCTCCACCAAAGGTCCCAGCGGCACCGCCCGCATGCGTCCGCCACCACCCTGCACAGCCCTTGCTCCCTGCCTGCGTTTCACCCACCCAGTACAGCGTTTCGTGGCCCCATAGGGAGCTCCACCGAAGGTCCCAGTGGCACCGCTCGCATGCGTCCGCCACCACGCAGCACAGCCCTTGCTGACCGCGTCTCACCCACCCAGTACAGCGTTTCGTGGCCCCATAGGGAGCTCCACCGAAGGTCCCAGTGGCACCGCCCGCATGCGTCCGCCACCACCCAGCACAATTGCGGCATTCACAACTGCATATGGTTGGGTCCTTCGCCAGGCTAATTTGTTCTCTACATCCGCCCGCCCACGCGTGTCACAGCGGACCTGGAACTCCAAAGAGGACCCCTTCTCGTGTTATGCGCAGTCGAAGAGAAAGGAGCCGTGTACAGTGGAGGAGGAGCCGGTGGCGGATGAGCAGGAGGACGAGGAGGAGGAGAAGGAATAGGATGAGGCAGGAGGAGGACGAGGACGAAAATCGACAGCAGGAGCCAGGGGAAGGCGGAGGAGGGGCAATAAGGTGGGGCGTCAAAGATGAGATGGGACTCGGATCCCTAAAAGCGGCCCGCGCTGGGGCGATGACGCCCCGCTCGGTCGCCCCCCAACGCCTCCCCCGGCAGCGCTGCCGCCAGCCGACTTGCCATATGCGGGCGGCTACAGGGGCGTTTATTGGAATGCTCAGGCCCTTTTCGCTGCCGATCCTCGCGCTCAACAGGGGAGACAACTTCACGCGTGGCATCTATCACAGAATCATGACTTCGTTGGATTGGGCGAGACCCACAGCACGCTCGGCCACGTTACAGCCGCCACACTTCCTCTTCATACTCGCTACGCTTGGACACACCACTCCGCGCGACGGACCGCGGGCATTGGTCTCCTCCTGACAAATCACTGTCTCCAGTCTTTCAACCCGGTACGGAACGAGGACTGGGAGGAAATTTGTCCAGGTCGCGTGGCAAATCTATCGCTACGGGGCCCAAACAGCGCTTTGGACATTGCCGTCGCGTACTGCCTTGCCGGCCACGACGAAGCAGACGCGCGACGACGGCTCGTCCAGGATTTGTCGAACCAAGTGACCCACGCGGACGCTTCGCTCACCCTCCTCATGGGCGAGTGGAACTTCGTGACGGATGCAGAGGACCGTTGGTGCAACAATTCTGGACTATGGACCGGCGCCGCTGACCGCCGGGAGGCGGAAGATTGGGATAGATTATTTGTAACCCGCCACGGCTTTCATGAGCTAAACCAGCTCTTTCTACATGTGAGACTGGACTCGCCCTCTCCCGCATTGACCGCGTCTACTCCAAACACCATGCTCTGACTAGTTGGACCGACATTATTCCGCAGCCGCTCTCCCCCTCACCTCCCTTTCACAACATAGACCCCTGTCATTCTCCCGCCTCGCCAAACGTCGCACGCCAGGGGGCGGCGTCAGCTTCCCACTGGCCCCCTTCACCACCCAGACTGGTCTCGTCGACTTACCTTGGCCTACAACGAAGAAATACGTGACGACCACGACCCGCTGAACCCACTTCGCCGACTAAGGGTGTTGAAGCACTGCATGACCAAAGTGGCCGCGAAGATGCACGCGGAAGGACTTTTCGTCCTTTCAACCGACCCCCACGACCAATTGGCTTGGACAATGGCATACATCCGAGCAGCTGAACGAAGTTCTGTACCAACGATGCAGCGTTGTCTAGCCGCCTACCCTCACCTTGCCACGATAGCACAAACGCCAGACCCGAATGCTCGCCTCTCTCCCATGCTACAGGCAGTCAAGCAACATGCGATGGACCTCGCCCACAGTGCCGTCATCGCGGACCTCGTTGCATTACAACAGCAAGAAGCCGATACCAACAGCACAAAACTCACATACCTATACGACCACCCTTCGGGTGATAAGGAGGTTCGGGGGGGGGGGGAGGAACCAACGTCTCACTCGATCGGTCCCACTATCGATCTCACTATCGATCTCACTATCGGTCTCGCTCGATCGAGCTCACTCGATCGATCTCACTCGATCAATTTCATTCGATCGATCTCACAAACGATCTGACGACCGATCTCACAATCGATCTCACTATATCACGATCGATCTCACAATCGATATCACATTCGGTCTCACTATCGATTTCATTATCGATGTCACATTCGATCTCACAACCAACGTCGTCATCATCATCAACAACATCATCGTGATCAACGTCATCAACATCAGCACCATCGGGACACTATCATCCACCACCTCATCACAATCATCATCAGCAACATCATCAACACCATCATCATCATCGGGACACCATCATCGCCACCATCATCATCATCAACATCATCATCGGGACACCAGCATCATCATCATCATCATCGGAACACCACCATCATCATCATCATCTCAACATCATCATCATCAGGAACAACATCACGAGCATCATCATCATCGGGACACCATCATCATCGTCAGCAACATCATCATCATCATCAACATCATCATCGGGACACCATCATCATCGTCACCATCATCATCAGCACCATCATCATCGGGACAATCATCATGATCAACATCAGCATCATCACCATCATCGGGCCACCATCATCACAATCATCAGCATCACCTCATCATCGTCCTCATCATCAACATCATCATCATCGCGACACCATCATCGTCATCATCATCAGCATCATCATCAGGACACCATCATCATCACCATCATCAACAACATCATCATCAACCTCATCACCATCATCGGGACACAATCAGCATCGTCATCGGAATCGCCATTTCATCATCATACCATCACCATCAACATCATCAGGATCATCAACATCATCATCGGGACACAATCATCATCAGCAACATCATCATCAACATCATCATCACGGGGCATTATCATCATCACCACCATCACCATAATCATCATCATCATCATCATCATCATCATCCACTTCGTCAACATCATCATCAGCATCATCAGCATCATCATCATCATCA